TTGGTGGGGGCACCGGGGGGGGGGGTACACCAGAAAGGATCCTCGCCTAGGGTCCAAAATAAGCTGGGGCCAGCCCTGACTGGGGTAGGTCTCCTTAAGGGCTGTGTAGCTGTATGCACAATAAATGATTCTTGATGTAACAAACTTTAGTGGCAAAACTGTTAATGTTTTCAAGCTGGCTGGCTTTTGGCTTATCATTAAGAAAGGTTTAAGATGGGGGGCGGGGTTTGAACCTAGAATTGTGTGCTGAACCTCAGCTTTCTTTCAGAAGTAGGAAAAGAAAGCCTTAAAATATGATCGAGGTCTTCTAGATAGCAAACAGTGGCGTCGGGTTTTTTTTTATTGCATTGTATTGTGTGTCTGCACCTAGAAGTCATGTCAGCCTGTGATGACTGACCCCTACTGGGGGCCTGGAGGATATTCAGAGAGGTGGCTGAATGAAGCCTGCCCCTGCCTTCTGATGTGGTATTCCAAGGAAGTCTCCCTTCCAAGTACTAACCACAGTCAACCCTGCTTAGGTTCTGAGATGTGACGAGATCGGGCTTGCCTGGGCTATCCAGGTCAGGGCTGCCTCTGTTGCTTTTTTTAAAAAATGTGGCAATCAGGTGTTTATAGGAGGGGTGTCCTACATTTCTCTGAGTGTTTAATAACTGACTGAAGCTGTTGCAATTCTCAGAAGATGCTGATGATCTTTGGTAGTGTCTTGTGGGGCGGGGTCCTGACTCAGAGCATCCCAAGAATTTATGACAACCCTGATTGCAATATCAGACCTGGGGTGGGGGACTGAGGGCCAGTTCTCACGTGAGTAGCTGTACTCTGGTACACATGAGTGTGGGTGTGAGTATAGAACCCACACGCCCACTATCAGTTATGAAACTAGCATGTATGTATTTTCAGTAATAGCTTTGCTATTGGGCACTCAAGGGTAGTGGGGGTTGCCAGTTAATCGAATGTGCCAGATGCTCAGACTCATTGCTCAGCCCTGCCCCCCTCCCCATAGAAACCCACAACAGTCAAACCCCACCCTGTTGGGAATGCCACGGCAAAAGGCTGTATACCTGGTAGAACCTTTCCCCTCCCACCCAAGCCATGGAGATGCCCCACACGGCAAGGTAGACAAGTGGGTCAGCTGCACAGTAGCCCCCTGGCAGAGCTGGCTCCTGACAGCGAGAGGCAGTAGTGGGGCACACACACGCCTGAAAGGAACAGGGATGGGGTGGCAGAGAGGGAGGAGCTTGCCTTCTGGCCAGTAGTCGTTCTTTGCATTCTGGATAATCAGGTGCTGGATAACAAAGCTTTCACTGTACGTGGGAGTGATGATCAAATTGATTTCCCTGCTTGCGTGCATACACTCATGTGCTGCTTGCTGACAATGGTATGTACGAGTGTGCATATTTCTTTCTTGGGTGAGCATACACAAGTATGAAAGCTTAGCTTAGTAAGAGTTGGTCTAAAGACTGTGAAGCTGGGAGAATTTCTCTTTTGAACAATCGTGGAAAGAAATGTTGCCACAGTTAATGTCGGGTTTTCTTTGCCTTTAGATTGGCTGGTGACCTGAATGAGTTCAGTTCTGCTGTAATGGGTGGCACTGCCTAGCTTCTGTCTGCAGAATAGTCCTTGGGGGCTGATTGGGATATCTTCTGTTCAGTGGTTCAGTGGCTCTTCTTCTGTTCAGTGGTTTCAGCTAGATGACCCGATTTGTTTTCCTCAAGGTGCCATTAAGGATTGAAAAAGGGGTGGCCGCTTGCAGCGTGGGTGACCTTTATAAAAATGTCTGGTGTGGTGGCTTTAACCAGATGGAGAACCATTTGTGTACAGCTTGCATTGATGTACTGAGCCATGTCTTGCTATGCTTCCTACTTCTTGGATTTGGGGGCTACAGCAGAGGAGTGACGAAGCTTGGCTTACGATGCAGCCGGATGATACCATCAACTTGCATTTGAGTGGTTAATGTGGTAAGCGATTGACTTAAGTGTAGAAATAAGCACAGCTGTAATGGTGGGGAGAGGTAGAGATTGTTCCAGTTAAGTGTAGAAATAAGCACAGCTGTAGTCATGGTGGGGAGAGGTAGAGATTGTTCCAGTTCCAAGGGCTTATGAAAGGGAGAAAGGAGTTTTCTAAGTTGCAGGAGGACACCCGGGAGAATTGTAATGGAGCTGCTTTAATAGATTGAATTTGAGGGAAAAGAACACCACTGAGCTGGTAATGTCTTTAGAGTAGCATAATGAATTGGATTAGGCAAAACTGAGAAAGACCACAAGGGAAGAACTTGGTGACTGGGCAGAATAATGGCACTGGAAATTCAGGACTTGCTGACATATTTTTACATACTGTGCTGGTGTGTTTTCTCTTTGATGGTATCAACTATGTATAGTGATAGCTTTAAGTCAGCATGCTGCCAGGCTGATTTCTGATTCTGTTCACGTAATTGTTTTATGTGAACTAAAACAGCTGCCTCATCGTTTTGAGATCATTTGATTTAACCCTTCACATGGTTTTTAACCCTTCTCTTAACATAAGAAGAACCCTGCTGGATCTGTGGTGATTCTAGACCAGCATGTTACCCAACCAGATGGCCTGCATGTATATCACAGAGACCAAAGCTATCCCCTGGTATTCAGAGGTACACTGCCTCTAAACATGGAAGTTCCCTTTAGCCATAATGGCTGTTAGCTGTTGGTGGACATGGCTTTCACATATTTGTCTAATCCCCTTTCAAAGCCCAATGAGTGGCTATCACTACATCAAGGGGCAGTGCATTCCATAAGTTATGCACTGCATGGAGAAGTACATTGTCTTTCTCTTCTGAACATACTGTCCATAAACTTCACCAAGTGCCCCACTTTTCCATATCCTATGAGTTCTCTCTATCCACTTCCTTCTTGCCATATAATTTTATGAACCTTTTTCATATCCCCCCCTTAGTCATTTGGTTTTGAAATGGAAAAGTCCCAATCATTTTAGCTTTTTCACGAAGGAAAGGTACTCCAGCCACTTGGTAGAGAAATTATGGGTGAGTGTTCTCTGGCTTTGGTTCCAGGTGCCAGTGGTACAAGCATTAATTACTGTTGAGACAAAGTTGTCCCAGTTAAAATGGTAAAGTGAAAACCATCCTTCTACTGTGCCTTTACTTCCTGGATACCATGAGTGTAAGAGTGATTTGTATGGCTGTGTAGCAATGCAGTCAGCAATTCAGCTTATTAGCACTGCCATTGTGTAGTTTTCCAACTTTTTTCTTCCAACCTGATTACGTTTCAAAAGGTGGCCTGACTGCATCTTTCCTGCTGCCTCACTGAATTAAATAATTTATTCCCTAACTTTACCAGGAAATAGTTGGAGTGGTCTGTGAGCTATAGAATGAAAGTTGGTTATCTGTAATGAAAAGAAGCTACTTGAACAAATTTTTTAAAAAATCTCTGCACAGTTCATGTGTTTCAGCAGTCATTGTGCCAGTACCATAAAAATGCTACCTGCTGCCAGGTGTTCTGTACAGCTCCTGCAGTGTATAGAGAGGTTTGGCACATAGATCCACCAGTTTTACATGGGAAGTCTCCACACTAGCGCCTTACCTTTCTGGGAGTTCCGAGGAAGTTAAAATACAGAAATGACGATCCACATAGTGGTTTGGATCCTGTCTGATAGTTTGATGGGTAGACTGGGTGTGTGTGATTTTCACCAACTCCCCCTCCTGTGGCAGACTTTGACCCTCCTCCCCCAAAGCTATTCCTGGGGATCCCCCTGGAGGAGCATTTTGGGTGGCATTTAGGGCTGCAGAGGGAAGTGGTGGTGAGGTTGTATTCCACAGATGGAAACACTTCCGTCTGTGGAAATTTTAGATGTGAACCAAGCCAGTGAGTCCCTTGCATACATCATGGCAACCGTATAGACTTGTAGAGCTTGTATGTGTATTTTGATGGCATCTCTGCTTCTGTCTTAACATGGGAAGGAGCTCATAGAATGCTCTTAGTCCTTAAGAACCAGAGTTGAGATTAAGTCCAATGTGGAGGACCTATTCATCTGAAATCATTTTTTTTCAGATGAAGTGTATGAAATTTGGATAGCACCCTACTGACTGTGTTACCTCTTAACAAACACTGGCTGTGTTAAGTGGTATGGTGGATGCCCCTTTGTGGTCCTTTAACCTCTGCACCGCTGCAAAGATCTCATTGGAAGCATCCTTGTGCATGTTTTAAGAAAGGAGGAGAAAACAAGAATTTGTAAAAAGAAGAAAAATCTGAAAAAGAAACTTGGATTGAGGGGTTTTGTGGTATTCTGTCAGTCTTCATTTGCCTTCCACTTCTTTCCCTTGTGGCTGCTGTCCTATTGCGTAATGTAGCCATGGGGAGACTGGAAAGAGTCTGCTTAAAATAGGTAGAAAATAATTTTAAGTGGGGGCATGTTCAAGTACAGAAGGCAAACTGTGGAAAACAGAGATCTGCGTGCCCTTGTTCAATGTGCCTGGTTGAAAAGGGCAAAAGTCCACGTGTGTTGAGCTGGAAGACAATAGCAAGCAGAATGCATGAGTGCCAGTGGAGCTCACTGTCTTTCTTTTGACCTCCCACTGTGCTGTTTGTGTGTACAAGGTCTTGGTTGCTGCTCGGATATAGAGAATCTTCTTGGTTAGGGCAGTAAGTATAAATATTTCTTCAGCTATAAACATCCTGTGCACCAAATGGGGTGGGAGTTCCGATGGAGGAAATAAAACTAGATTAATGCAGTCTCTTTC